GCAGGCTTTTGGGGATCAGTTATTGGGTTAAAAAGGGAAATAATCCAGGTGTCAGTTCTTCATTGGATAGTTTAGTCTTAAAAGACCTTGGAACAAGAGATTGTTGGCCATTCTTGTGGTGCTTTTCCAGTGCGCTGAGCCTGGTGTGGACAGCGTGCAAAACTCCAGATAAGATAACAATAAACAAGAACCTGAAGACTGAAAAAGTCCAGTGTGTTTCTCTTTCCTGACACAAGACCACTCCAGGAGGGTCTCCCCTGACAGGGGAGCCCCCTGGGAGGGCCCAGCCAGAGTCCCAGAAGTCGGGGAATTGGTGACAGGTACCCCAAGAGGTTTGGGATCTCTGTTCTCCTTCCCTGCTCACAAAGCCCATCCAGTTGGGTCACTGAAGGCACAAGAAAAAGAAGCAGCAACTGCTCAGTTTTGTCACCCTCCCCCAGCTTATCTACATATACATTAGTGTTTTATGTTGTAAAATGGAAGATTTTAGGAACTTCTTGAAGCTTTGAATTTGTGATTTTACACTATATTGTCTGCATTGAAGTGCTGTGTTTTTCTTGAGCAGTTAATTTATTACCCAGTAAAATTCAAATAATTTTCTTCACTGTAAGTTCCTGCCTGGTTGTTGCCATGTTAACAATTCAGATTGCTGGCTTTTTGCTTCCCTGTAGTTGGCAGGGGTTTTTTTATGTTTTAAGTAAAAATTGCTGACTCACTGTACTCATCCATTTTCATATCATTAATATATTAAAGAATTAATAGTTAATATTTTGTCACGTTTGGCTGTTTCATCCTGCTTAGTTTCATTTTGGTCAGTCATGCTTGTCAGGATTCAGAAAGGATAACATCACATTATCTTCTTCAGAAGCAATCTGAACAAGCTGTATTGATTTTTGTCCTTTTCTTTAAATACAGTTTTTTAACAGTAGTTTGAATTTGTGCACTGAAATGCAAACAATTGCAACCAATGATAGTGGTAAAGTTTTTTTCTTCATATTAATTGAAATAGAAATAACATTGTCCTTTTTATTTGTAAAGCAGAGCTGTAATGTTTCAGTGACCCCTGTATGTAATATTTAGAATTCTGATTTCATCTGTTGGATTTATCAGTTAGATTTTTTTTGGTTGGATATATTTATTTATTTTGTTATGTTATATTCTCAACTCTAGGGTCTTTCCTTCATGAAATGACATCATATTAATAATGACCAAAACTGGCATTTGGTTTATGGGGTTGATTTTGTTTGGTTGAGTTTTTTTTGTGAGTGAGGGGAAGGAATGGTTTTAAAATAGAGGGGGAAAAAGAATCCAGTTCCTTATCCATTGGAATGAAATTAGGGAACACACAGGGGTCTGGTAGTACATTTTAAAGGTGATTCTAGGATTATTTCTTCCTTTTTTGAACAGATTTTGCTGGCTTTTTGTGATTTGGTAAATACACTAAGCCTTTTTCTTCACTGTACTGTATTTCAAGGTGTCCTGAGAATTGACAGCTGAATCTGTGCAATCAGGACGCCCCCAGTCATGAACTATGATGTAATGAGAGGGAATTTGTGTGACAATAGTGTCTTACTTGGGTTGAAGGTGGCAAACAACATGAATATTGTTACTTTTTTGGTGTTATATAAGCCAGTTTCTTTTCCTGCAGCCATTCCTGCCTTGGTTTCCTGCCTCTGCTCTGGTTGCCACACTGCGAAGCAGCTGCGGGTGATTATTTTGCCAAGTTCCTAAATTCTTCAGGTTTCCCTTTTATCTTCTTGTAGCCTTGAACAAAGGGAAGGAAGTGTATGATGCTGTGTAGCAATCTTCCTTTTCATTTCAGGGTCTTTCTCTTTCTTGTTAATTTGTCAATACTGGCAATTCTCAAGGCTGACTCCATTGAATGCACTTAGAGATCCATACAGTGTGGAGAAATAACAATGCTTAAAAACCTCAGGGGTTTTAAACTTCCTTAGAATTCTTAGTGTCTCAGGATAATTTAAATGTGTTGCAAAAGTAGTGCCATAGGTGGCCTTTGCAGTTAGAGAACCATTAAAATGAGATCTTTTGATTTTTCCTTCAAAGAAAACATACACAGATAGGTGCAGTGGTGACCTCCCTTTTACATCCATTCATTCAACAGAGATTTCAACAAATTCTTACCTGTGCAGAAAAATAGTTGTTACTTTCTAAAGGTCTTTGTGGGTTGGTCTGGTGGGGGAGAAAGTTTCTTGACCAAAACCAAAGTTGGGTAAGTGTTTAGCTGGTGACTCTGCCCTGACTGGGAAGAGCAAGAGCCACACAGTGACCAACCTGCTGTCCCAGGGGCTGATTTGGTGTTCCCACTGAGGATGTAATCCTTGCTTTTAGTTTGTTTCATTTTGTTAGAATGTGCTGGAAGAATTGAAAAAATTCATTTGAAACAGCCTTCCCAAGTGAAGTTTGCATAAATATGAGTGTTGCTGATTATGTTGCAAACCAGTTAGAGGTCAGCAGAGAGGGTTTGCTTTCATGATGTAATTGAATTGCTCTTACAGGAACAGATAATTTACAGTGTACTGTGGCTGAAAGGGGAAGTTCTGGTGTCTTAGGACTTGCCTTGTGCTGGCATCAGGGAGATGGCTTTGCAGCATCTTCAGTTTGTGCTCTAACATAAAGGGAAAATCTCCCTTGTTGAGAATTGCTCTGAGCTGTGTGAAAGGCTTGGGCACAGGTTTTTACATCCCTACTACAGACAGTGCTTCAGATATGTGTGATCCCTCTTTTAATGAGGATTTGCTTAAAAAGGGGCTGTGGGAACACTGAGGGTCCCCAAACACTTAAACGTTAAAGTGCGTGTGATTTATAATTTCCCTGAACATCTGTACAGAAAAATCCTGTTACATTTGTTCATAAAGTCAAGTTCTCTTCAAACACCTGTAGCCTAATTCAGGAAATAAACTACCCTAGCTTCCTCTCCAGTATTTATTGTAGGCTGCCTGTTGTAGTGGCAGTTTCTATATGCTCTGAATTGCAAAAGACAAAATACCAATTTAAGAAAATACCAAAATTTGACTATTTTCTTCAAGAGCTGTAGCAGGTATTGCAAGTCATCAGAAAAAGGAAAGCCTGTCTACCAATCAGTGTGTAACAGTAACATCAGGGACACCATCAAAAATTGTGCTATGATTTGTACAAATCAGGAGATGAGACCAAAAAGTGGAGAGGGGAAGCACAGTGCCAAAGTTCTGCACTAAGATATTTGCTGATGTTAAGAGTCAATACATACACAAATAGTGATCTTAAGAAATGTACTTTACACTTGTGTGCTTTGCTTCTGATTTTAGGGATGATGTTCTTTAGATGGTGAATTGACTGACTGCAAGAGGTGTTCATAGCCATGGGAATGAAGTTAAAGGAGTTGTAGCTTTGATCCTTGGTGAAAATAATTGCAGTCCTTCCTGCCCAGTTTGCTAGGGCAAAGCTTGCAAATACACATCTAAATTTGGTATCTTCAGAACATGGCCAAATAGCTACAGTTTGAAATACGTACTTTTTAAGTTTATGTAAACATATTTAATGTTTTATTAAATCATTTTAATACCACATGTACACCCGAAATTCTGTAGCAGCATAGCTTTGCTTTGATTCATTGGAACTTTGCCTCTGAAAACAGCCATAAAATAAGGCTTTTCTGGACTTGGGAGTAGGTGAAAGGATGTGATACACCTCAGTCTTGGGATACAAACTGTGACCCACTCAGAACTAATTAGATCAGTAATTGGGTAACATTTCCTGGGTGTTTTTTGGCATTTTTCTTTTTGATGATTAGTAAAAGTGTACTCAGAGTAAATTACAAACATGGACAAGGCTGTTGATTTAAATATTCAGCTTGTATCTCCCCCCCTCCTTTTGAATATTGAGTTTTAATAAAATCTCTTAAGAAAGCTCCTCATTTCACAGAATTACAGAATATGCTGAGTTGGAAGGGCTCCATGGTCTTGATTATTGTCATGTCATAAAATCAAGGAGTTCATGATTGCAACCAAATTTGAAACATGTACCATAAATAGGTGAAAGTCACAGATTAGCCAGCTGGAATTAGAATTTGCTGGAAGTCTGTCAGGCTTTTGAGAACTGTGCTGGTGGAAGGACCTTCCCTCCCATATGAGTTTGTTCAACTGCTTCAATTCAATGGCTAGTAAGTTCAGAAAGTTGGGAAAGTGATTTTATTTATTTATTTATTTGCTTATTCCCAAAGTGTAAACAGGGTCATGAGCTAAGGATGTAACAGGCTAAAGATCATTGCAGTTATGGTGAAGAGAAGGTGTCAGTCCAGTTGTTAAAAACGTGTGTTCATAGTACAGAACATTCTTTGCTTCTGTATGTATATCACTTAAAAACTTCTGGTGCAAGTTTTCTCATGCTGAAATTAATTTCTAATTGGATTTACATTTGTGGCTTTAGCTTTTCTTAGTCTAAGTAGGAAGAAGTAAATTATTTTACAACATGCTAGATGTGAAAAGAATCAGATCTTGGGAAACACATATGAAGATACATAAATTGCATAAGGAAACATGTTGAGGTAGTGTGTTCTTTGGTTCAGCAAAAATGAATGAAATAACTGTTAAATGAAAAATGATTTCTTTAGGGAAAAAAGCAACACAATGAGAATAAAATCAGAGGGGTTTCTTTCTTGCAGATTGGAAAGAATGAAGTAAATCCTTTCGTGTTTCATTGATTTTAAAAATTGTCATGTAAGTTAGAAGTTTGTTTTGTGTTGGGGAAATCGAATGTCCACAGAAAAGTCCAAGAAAATTTCTGTTGTTCATTTATTGTCACTTAGAATCAGTGAGCTTCCAAATCTGTTCTGTCTTTAATATGACATTTCTTCTTTGAAAAGTGATGCTGACTCCGTTAGTGAGAGTGTTTGTAGACCTAGTCTTTCAAGCTAATAAAAAACTTTATTATTTCTCAGAAAAATGTATTATTTGCTTTAGTAAAGTACAGAATTTTGAAAACCTTGTATTTCTTTTTCCCAGGCTGTTCGCTGCTATGAATCGCTAATTTTGAAAGCTGAAGGAAAGGTCGAGTCTGATTTCTTTTGTCAGTTAGGTCACTTCAACCTCTTATTGGAAGATTATCCAAAAGGTAAGAATTTTTAGTTCTTCTGATAAATGTCTTTGGGGAATTGTTCTTCAGTGTAGGTGGCACAACAGAATGAAAATCACTGGGCTAAGTCACTGTTTTCTTGGTTTGTACTGTGTTTCAGAGCCCATAAAAGAATTAAAACTGGTGATATCTTCACAAGAACAACTTTATTCTTACTTCTTGTTCCTTTTTATTTTTAATGAAAAACAAAAGCCCAGCCAAAACACTCCTGGTTCAGGTATGAATATGAAGTTGGCTGGCAGGCCCAGTGTCTGATGGCACCCTGTGGGATGTGGGTGAGAGCTGGGTAGAACAGGTTAGAATATTTACTTTTTTCCCATGGGATGCCTTTTTTCATTGCCATTGCTTTTTAATTTTAACATGAATGCAGATCTGTTTGTGTAGGGAAACAAATAACACCCCCACCCTAAATATATGTGCTTCCACCCCCCCATGCCTTTTTCCAAGCACACAAAGATGCTGTCCTGCAGTTTTCCTGGGATGCAGAAACAGGGAGATGAGTGCTAGCTGAGAGTAGTTCAGGGGCACTGCTTGGTGGCTCAGGCTGGCTGTGGGCTGTTTGATAGCTGTGTGTCTGTGGGTCCACTGGCTCTCTGTCTGACATTAAACAGGGTGAGTTTGGCTTCCTGGGACCTTCATTTCTAAAGTGAGAAACATGTAGATTTGATGCTGCTCAGCAGGAATTTGCAGGTATCTGAATTCAGTCTGTAAATTTGGAAGGGCTTGTTTAGGTGATGGAAGCATCTGTCTTGTACCTCATCCCATCCCATGAGTGGGATATAACCACTGGTGATTCCAAACACAGAGGCATGGGAAGATCTGCAGGGAGTATGGCAGTATGATGTCTCTGAAATTCAGTGGAGAATAGTCTGATCTTAAGCACTTTTGTTTAGTTTGAAGAAAATTCTGCCCCCTCTCTGCAAAAAAATTTACATCGCTCTTTCTCATTAGCCTAATGAAGTTAGGTGTGAATGCAGTGTGACCTTCTGGACATATTTTACTCAGCAAAAACAGCCCAGGGTTATGGACTGACCTGTATTAACTCTGCTTTTGAGTTGATAACAGTTAGGAGTGACAGGACCAGGTGTTGCTGTGGATCAGAGGCAGGGTTTACTGATGGGGCATCTGCTTTGTGCTCTGGGTATGGTTTTATAAACAAGCATAAAAACTCCAATTGATGGTTGGAAATATCAGTTCTCCAGAACTGTAAAAGAGCATTAGTACAACAATGTGAGAAAAACATTAAGCCATTAAAAATCTGAATTAAAGTACTTAATACTTTCTTAGATGCCTATTTAAAGTCACATCTCAGTTGTAAAAAAAAAAGCCTCAAGAAGACTAAAAACCTTGTTAGTTATGGAGTATTAAAAAATCTATCTGTCTTTTCAAAGAATTGTAGTAGTAGTAGTTGAAAATACTGGGGGACTTTTAATTGATGTAAAAAGGGAAGTTAAAGGGTTTTTTTTTATTAAGTGAGGGACATATGTTCCTGTTCACTGCAGTTTTTGAACTCTAGTACCAAAGACTATAAAACTATTACCCTCAATGCAGAAAGTCATTGTTATTCTACAACTAATTTTTTACTGCTATTTGAAAGAACTAGAATGTTTGTGTGTCATTATAAAGTAAAAATAAATTTCATTACACAATACAAATTTTGTTACTTTAATTATTATACATTCTAATTGCATTATAGTTAAATTTTACATTATTTAGAACAGAAAAGCGAGTTCAGAATGTTTTGATATCACTAATGTGTATTTTACCCAGATTTTAAGTTCCAGAAGTGTAAAATTCTGAAGGAGCATGATATTCAGAGCTATAAATCTGTGTAGTCTGAATTTAGTCAAAGTTATGGACAAGTCAGTGTATTTAATAAATTAGATATAATTAATAAAATATCACAGCATAGCAGCATGTATAATGCTCCACAGTTTTTTTTCCCTTAAAAGCTTGTTACTTAATTAAATATCTTCAATAAATGCATGCACCTTTGTATATAATGTATGAAGTGTTTTTTACAAAGGCAGAAGTGATAGTGTTCTTTGTTTAAAAAGTGCTTGCTATGAATTTTGTGCAGAGCAGAACAAACTGTGAGCTGAGTGTAGAACTGGGATCAGTGGTCAAGATGAAGCAGTGCTGGGATGACAGATCTGGGTTTTGTGTTGATAGTTTCTTCTCTTCAGATCTGTCTCATTTTTTCACAAACACTCTGGAGTGAAGGATCATGTAGCTGGGTGCATTTTGTTGCATGTTTTTAGTGTTTTGGTTTAGCTAATACCTTCTTCTGGGACTGTAGGTCATTTCCTTGTAAGAATTAGGACTTCAACACCATAAGAGGGATCTTGAGAAAAAGTCCTGGCAGGTTGCATCATTGAAACTCACATTATTGGTGCTATTACTGCCCTTGCTGCATGTGCATAGAGAGTATCAGTGAGGGGCAGGCTACCTTGAATGTGGTGTTTGATAGTCAAGTCTATTTAACTTCATTTATTTTAGTGAAAGCTCTTAAATATTGTAAGTCCCCTCAAAGTGCAGTGTGTTTTCTGTCACTCCTAGCCACTGAATTCCAGAATCAGTATACTTTTATTTTTCTTCCTTAAAAAGAAGTACTTGTCTCCAAGAAAAGTTTGGAGTTCACTGGAGTGTCAGTGCCACTGCTAACCTTTAAAAGATCTGAAGCTGCTCTGCAGGTTGCAGTTTGCCAAAATGCAGTAATTTTGAATTGCTGTTGATAGGTAAAGGGTTTTCTCTGCAGCCATGGAATGGAGCTGCTGTGATATCAGCACTCTGCTGCTGTTAGGAGAAGGTCCTACACAAGGGATCAGCCTTTTTGCAGGTTTTGAATCCAGTGAGACACTACCTTGAATTCAGACACTTAGCACCAAGATTGCAGATGAATTGATTTCAGCTTTGCCTGCATGTTCAGAGTGGTTTCTCTGCTCAGCTTTCCTTGTATTGATCGTGACTGATCAGAATTTGGCTTTGGGATTTCCTAGAATGGCAACATTGACTCCTCCCAGTGAAAACTATTTCATTTCCTCAGTAGGATTTTCTTAGCTCTAATCTGATTCTTCCTCTTCTCTCTTTTGACAAGGCAGCTATTCCCAGCTGTTGGATTGTTTTGGAGGTTCCCAAAGCTTTTGTTGCCTGGGCATGCCCTTGGTGGCACCCTCGTGTCTGCGGGTTGCTTTCTTTGTGCCGGCGCAGCTGAGCCTGCAGCTGCGTGGGGAACTGATCCAACTGAAAAATAACCCTGCACAAAAATGCTGTGCAGTTGCCCCAGAATGTGAAACCTCAGCCTTGGGGTTTTGCTGGAGGAGGTGGCTGGGTTGTCATGGAGGCCTTTGGGTGCTGGGAGCGTTCTGAATTCAGTCAGGACTCCTGGTGTGAACCCCTCAACTGTTTGCTACTGGATTCCGTGGGACACATGGGTTTGTCACCAAATTATTGTGCTCTGGTCTTCAAAGAAACGTATGTTCCACTGATAGCTGGAGTTTATTTTTCATTCCATGGCTGGTTTCCATAAGCAGTAAGGAGTGAAGATAGTGATGTTTTAAGATTTGGGTTCTAGCTGACTTGAGTTCTAATTGACTGCTGTTAATTGAGCTCGTGGATTGACATCATCTGTGTTTTCTTTAGGGATCTTCTTTTTGCAGAAGGGTCACATGCATTCACTGTGTTCACTCTGTGACTTGGAGGACAGCTCACAGTGGCACAAATGGAAATGTGCTGTAATCTTTTGCCTCCTTGAATTGCTGTTCTCTAAGCAAAATTCCTGGAAGTAGAAAATGCAGTTAATGAATGAACGATTTGAGAAAAACATGAATTTATTTGTGCCACAGTTACTAAAACACAATAAATACTGTACTGAAATAATTCTTATTGTTGTACTCAAATGGTAGTCTCATTTTTAAATGTTCTATGTCAGAACAGTTTTAGCAGTATTTATTTTGATTATAGATGGTGACTGCTTTGTCAAAAATACTAATATAAAAACATTTTAAGTTGTTTGTAAGATAGTGTTCATTAGTTATGGGGCATTTTTTTAGTAATCATTAATCTAAAATTTAAAACCCTACTAAAAAAAATACCCAGATTGTTAATTGAGCAGCTCTTTTATTGCAATGCAACCTAAACCCAAAATTTAAACACTTTCTGATTGTTCTTTTGTAAAGTTGTTTGGTTGTGAGAAACTCCCATATTCAACAATGTATGTGTGTTCCTTTGTACTTAGAATTCCAGCTCTGTAGGGAATTTCTCTGTGGTGGTGAAAGTCTTTCAGGAATTTGAAAGGAAGTATTGTTATTGGGAAGCATTTTCATGTGCTGTGCTCTGAGGTGCAGGGTAGAAGTGGTAATTTTATAAAATATAAGGGAAAACTTCACAGCATGGACAGGATTGTGCTGATTCCTGCTGGGCTGTCTTGTCTTACTGATGAGTCCAGAAGAACTAGAATGAATTAAATAGCTTGAATGAGTCAAGGAAGAGGTGACTGCTTCAAATAAGTGTGATATTTAGGTTTAAGGGGTTTTATTTTGTTGCTTGTAACTGGAACTAACTGGTAGAATTGGAGTTGCTTCTATTTAGAGCTGTTTACAGAATCCTGAAGGTGAGATAAATTTTGGGTGGTTTAATTTCAGGTGGTTTAAACCATTATGTGAAATTTCTGCAGAAAAAAAGGAAGCTTAGAGCATTAAAATGTTCTTTATAAATTGTATGTATGTGGAGCAGAGGGAAGCAGTCGACAGTTTTATTATAAAATATACCAAGGCCATGTTTTTGACTGGTTGACTGAAAATTTTCACTTTGGAAAGTATTCTAAATAAACACTCAATTGTTAAAAGACCTTTTTGTGTAATGCACTCTTGGAATATTTTTGAGCTTGATGAAAATCCATTGGGTTTCTTCACTGGTTTTCAGTATTTTAAGACTTTTCACAGAGGTCAATATCTAAAGGATTCTGTAATTGTAAATTTCTTGTCAAACTTGTATATCTTTCACATTTAATACTTGATGGGACAGTGGGCTTCACATCACTTTGCTGCTGTCTTACATTTCCAGATGGGCATGTGGAGCTGTTAATAAATTTCTTAGAGGACTATTTGATGATTTTTCTGTCTTAAATCTATGCTTGTATTGCTTTTGTGTGTCAGCCTTCATTCTGTGTTAAAAGGAAGAGATGCTTTAGGCTTCTTTGATTGTCTCTTTGGTACT